GCTTTTTAGTCACAACAAAAAATACCAAAACACCATAAAAAGGAGGGGTCAAGATAGATGAAACAAGAATGACTTAATATTGATAACAATTGAAAGTGGGTGATGCTTTCATGGCGGTTCATTACCTTTGTATGTTTAAAATTTTCCGTAATGAAGAGTTCTTAAGCCTTAGGGGAGCTTGGGATTTGTGAACAGAGCTGAGTTTTAATCCTATCTCCACTTAAAAAAAATTGAGGTATAACACATATACCATAAAATTCAACATTTTAAGGTGTATAATTTAATGGTTTTTAGTATATTCGTAGTGCTGTTCACCTATCACCACTAATTCCAGAAGATTTTTATAACCTCCAAGGGTAACCCAGCACCTACTAGTCTTATTCCCTATCCCCGCAATCCCTGGCAACTACTAATTTATTTTTCCATCTCTTTGGATTTGCGTATTCTGAGCATTTCATATGAAAGAAGTCATACAATATATGGCCTTTTGTGTCTGGGTTGTTTCAGGTTAGCATTCTGTTCTCAAAGTTCATTGATGTTGTAGCATAAATCAGTACTTCATTCGTTTTTATGGCCAAATATTTTCTTATATGGATATACCACATCCATTTCAGCTCATAAACATTTGGGTTACTTCTACTTTTTGGCTGTCATGAATAAGCCTGCTGTGAACTTTCATGTACAAGTTTTTGTATGAACATAGCTTTTCAGTTTTCTTCGGAATATACTTAGGGGTGGAATTGTTGGATCATATGATAACTTATGTTTAACCATTTCAGGACCTCTGAGACCATTTTCCAAAGTGACTGCACCATTTTACGTTCCCACTAACAATTTACAAGGATTCCAATTTCTCTGCATCCTTGCCAACACCCATTATTTTCCAATTTTTAGACTGTGGTTATCCTGGTGGGAGCTAACTTGTATCTCGTTGTATTTTTGTTGTTGTTGTTTTTGTTTGTTTGTTTGAGACGGAGTCTCGCTCTGTTACCAGGCTCGAGTGCAGTGGCGAGATCTTGGCTCAATGCAACCTCTGCCTCCTGGCTCAAGTGATTCTCCTGCCTTAGCCTTCCGAGTATTTGGGACTACAGGCACGCGCCACCACACCCAGCTAATTTTTTTATTTTTAGTAGAGATGGGGTTTTACCATGTTAGCCAGGATGGTCTTGATCTCTTGACCTTGTGATTCGCCTACCTTGGCCTCCCAAAGTGCTGGGATTACTGGTGTGAGCCACTGTGCCCGGTCTCACGGTGGTTTTGATGGACATTTCTATAATGACCAATAATGTTGAGCAGCTTGTCATGTGCTTATTGGCTAGCTTCACTTTTTAGCTTTGTGACTTTGGTCAAGTTCTCCACCTCTGAGCCTCATCGATCACTTGTCTGTAAAATGAAGATAATAATGCCTCCTGAGGTTATTGCAGAGTTAGTGGATGTGAGGCAGGTTTGGAACAGTGCCTGATACATAGTAGATATTTAATTGATACCTAATACTACTTTGCTACTCGAGCTGTGGGTAGCTTGCAATCTAGTGATTTCACTACATCTGCTGTGAAGTTAAAAACTGAGATGATAGTGCCCTCTCATTTGCCAAAACTGTTTTTCCTTTCCTTTTTTTTTTTTTAAAGACAGGGTTTCTCCATGTTGGTGAGGCTGGTCTTGAACTCCTGACCTCAGGTGATCCACCCGCCTCAGCCTCCCAAAGTGCTGGGATTACAGGCGTGAGCCACCGTGCCCAGCCTGTTTTTCTTTTTAACACTCTCACTAGGCCTTTCTTTACTATTCTTTACCAGTCAAGTCCTGTTCTCTGTCCTTTCTAGTTGGAAGGACATGGTTAGGATCACGGAGATACAACCTGTGATAAGATAGAACCTGTGACCTTAAAACTTGAAGATGATGGTATTGTCAAATTAGTTCTGTGATCATGTCATCCATCTCTGTGCTATAGGAGTGAATTTGTCCAAGAGGTTTTAGGCCTGTGGACAGTATTCAGAACATTGGGAAAGAGGCAATAAGGCATTCTAGGCAGGGAAACCAAGTGAACCAAACCAAAGACAGGGAAGCAGGAGTCATCTTGGAAATGGGTAGTTAGGAAATTAGCCTGTTAGGAGAGGGGTATTGTGGAACAGTGAGAGATTTGTTGAGATTGTTATTCTATTGTTTTCCATTACCTACTCCAGAATATTTAGTGAAAGAAGTCCTACCTGGAATCACGAGACTTTTGTTCTAACCTTGTTTCGGCTGCAATTAGCTAGGTCAAGTAATTTATCCTCTCTAGACCTCAGTTGCCTATGTGATAAAATGAATAATTGGATTAGTTCGGTGATTCTTAATTGGGGGTGTGCATGAGAAACTACGGGAAGCTGTTTTGAAATAGAGGTGTTCGGATCACACTCAAGAAATTCTTCCAGGCAGGGTGCAGTGGCTCAGGTCTATAATCCCAGCACTTTGGGAGGCCAAAGCTGGCAGATCACCTGAGGTCAGGAGTTTGAGACCAGCATGGCCAACACGGTGAAACCCAGTCTCTACTAAAAATACAAAAATTAGCGAGGTGTGGTGGTGTGCGCCTGTAGTCCCAGCTACTCAGGAAGCTGAGGCAGGAGAATCGCTTGAACCCAGAAGGTGGAGGTTGAAGTGAGCACTCCAGCCTGGGTGGCAGAGTAAGACTCTGATTCAAAAAAAACAAAAAAGAAATTATTTCAGCAGATCTGAGGTGAACTCAGGTTTGTATATTTTGAAAAAGATCTCCAGGTGGTTGTGATGTACATTCCTGGTTTTTTAAGAGCTACCAAACTGATTAAAAATCACTAGCCCATGGCTTTCTGGAGTTGAAATCACTTGAATGGTAGCATAATTAGCTTCAGACCAGGTAAAGATTAAGTGTTGTAGTGGAAAAGGTCTTTGGTGACACCAAGAGACTTTGGTGTCAGTGTGACCCAGGTTGCTGTTTCCTAGCTTTATAGCTCTGAGTATGGCATCTTACTTTTCTGAGCCTCAGTTTCCTCATCTGTAAAATGGGGCTTCTAATACCTGCATGGTGAGGTTGTGATGATGAGGGAGAAAATATCACACTTAACAACCGTGCCTGGTACAAGGTAAATAGATGCTCAACCAATGACTTGTATGAGTGGTATGCTGGAAGAAACTATCACCAGGGGACAGTATAAAAGTTTACTCCTACCCTGACACATCTGGAGTTACTCATATCTCTAGGCATAAATATGTTAAAATACTTTTTGGTTCCTTTGCTTGGATATCAAACAGATACCAACCTTGCTTCACTATCTGCTTACTGGTGTCTCTCCCCTTGTGTGTGACATGACTGGCAACTGTGATTAGACTCTTTTTCCATAGTCTAGCAAAAGTTTAATGCATTTAAACTCCTGTTAGACTCCAGAAAACTACCATTCCAACTTAAATGAAAAATAGTTGAGTTGAAAAAAATTATCAAGGTCCACAGGCTCTAGAGCCAAAATCTGGGCTTTGCTACTTGTAGCCATGTGAGCCTGGGGCTAATGATGTGTAAAATGGGGATAATAATAGTAGGTATGCCCTCAGAAGGTTGTTGTGTTAAATGAGTTAATGCACATAGCACATATTCAGTATCTGTTAGCCATTATTATTACTACTATGTACCAGGTCTTGTGTGGGAGCCAGGAATACAGAGGTAAATTCTCTCTATGGTCAAGGAACTTAATCTGGTGGAGCCAGTATACAGATAATTTCAGTATACTTCAAGTACAGCAATAGAGGCATGTACAGGAAGAATACTTAACAGTTTAGCTCTGTTACATAAAAAATAGTGCTCTCCAGGAAGAAGTCCGGTACAACAGAAAGTGTGCATTCTGGAGTCAGATCAGCCTGGATTTGAATCCTGTCTACCACTCACTCATGCAACTTTGGGGGCAGCCAATCTCTTGCAGCCTTAGTTTCCCCATTTCTAAAATGGGGTAAAGTTTCTGACTTCTCTCTGTTGGAAGTGCAACTATTTAGGTGCCCTGCAATGTACAGTACTACTAAGGAAAAAAGCAAGGACTTTAAAAAAACTTAGATTTCTATGTCTATTTCTACATCAAAGCTTTTCATCCATATGTACCTTACTATGGTTATTCTAACAATGGGATAATATATATAAAATACATACAGCACATAGATGCTGAGCAATAAATAATAGCTTTTTTATCTTTCTAACAGATGTCTAATGTTATTTTTTGAACTAAAAACTTAAGTAATATATACCTTGTTAATTTCAGTACTCTAATTTTGAAGTGCGTCAGGGCAAGTTTTATGAAAGGAGTTAAAAAAACATTGGCCGGGCGCGGTGGCTCAAGCCTGTAATCCCAGCACTTTGGGAGGCCGAGGTGGGTGGATCACGAGGTCAAGAGATCGAGACCATCCTGGTCAACATGGTGAAACCCCGTCTCTACTAAAAATACAAAACATTAGCTGGGCATGGTGGCACGTGCCTGTAATCCCAGCTACTCAGGAGGTTGAGGCAGGAGAATTGCCTGAACCCAGGAGGCGGAGGTTGCGGTGAGCCGAGATCGCGCCATTGCACTCCAGCCTGGGTAACAAGAGTGAAACTCCGTCTCAAAAAAAAAAAAACAAAAAAAAAAAACACTGGGCATTTGAATGAACACGTGTATAATGCTGTCTGTGTTTACAGTAATCAAGTTGCGGACTGGGAGAGTGGTTTTGTTTTGTTTTTTAAGAGTAGTCTGTTCTGGTTGGGCGCAGTGGCTTGTGCCTGTAATCCTAGCACTTTCAGAGGCCGAGGCGGGAGGATCACTTGAACTCTCAGGAGTTTGAGAGCCTGGGCAACAAAGTGAGATCTTATGTCTGCATTTTTTTTTAAAGTAAAAAATTTTTAAACAATATTCTGTTCTGTCACGTGTAATCTCAAATTTCACCAAACTGTAAAATTTAGTTGCTAAACCTCCTGACTTCTAACAATACAAATCAGCTTCTGTAGTATGACACGTTCTCTTCTTCCCTCCTAGGTCTTTCAGAGCCTTGAAGATCACCATTTGGAAGTGGTGGCGTTTTTCAGGGAAAATGGCTTTCATGGCCTTCTTGCCCATGACTCCGAGTATGCTCTCTACAATATTCCCTCTTACTACAGTTCCCATGCTCTGAAATTGAGCTGGAATGGGAAGAACCTCACTACCAACCAGTTCCTGATGCAAGAAGTGGCCAAGCAGCTGGGCCTGAAGAGGGTGAATTTTCCCATATTTGCTGCACTGCTAGGTAGGTCATCCACAGAAGAGAATGCAGTGATTGGTAATTTCCTCTTCGTGGGGTAAGAGATGAGGACTAAAGTGATTTAGCCTGTCATCATTAAATTTGTCTTCTTAAAGTCCTCATGCTAAACCCTGTGCTAGGGAGAACTCAGCATGATTTTGGGTTTCTTGGTAGACCACACTAAAACTCCGCGTGTTTGGTTTGTGGGTTGCTACAGGTTATTCCAGAACATTATTTAGATTCCTGTAAACCTTATTTTGTTACATTTTATAACTCTTTTATGCTGAGTATTCTCAAGCTAAATGTTTTATTAACCCTAGACAACTTTGGTTCCCCACACAGAGCATCAGCATTTCTTCCCCAGTGTCTAAATTGAGATCAGAAAGACAAATTGTTGATTATGGTTTTCTCTTTGTTTCTTTTGCGCTAATATTTTATGAAAATTTCCAAATATACAGCAAAATTGAAAAAGAGTTTTGCAGTAAGAACCCTATATCTACCATTTATATTCTGCCGTTAACATTTTACTATAATTGCCATATCATGTATCTGTCCATTCCTCTACCCATCCATTAGTCTATTTCTTATTTTATTTATTTACCTATTTAGTTTTTTTTAGATGGAGTCTCGCCCTGTCACCCAGCCTGGAGTGCAGTGGTGCGATCTCAGCTCACTGCAATCTCCGCCTCCCGAGTTCAAGCGATTCTCTGGCCCAGCCTCCCGAGTAGCTAGGACTGCAAGCACTCGACACCACGCCCAGCTAATTTTTGTATTTTTAGTAGAGACGGGGTTTCATCATATTGGCCAGGCTGATCTTGAACTCCTGACCTTGTGATCTGCCCACCTTGGCTTCCCAAAGTGCTAGGATTACAGGCGCGAGCCACCGTACCCAGCCTATTTTATTTTATTTTATTTTGTTTTATTTTCAAGACAGAGTCTCGCTCTGTTGCCCAGGCTAGAGTATAGTAGCATGATCTCAGCTCACTGCAACTTTCACCTCCTGGGTTCAAGCGATTCTCCTGCCTCAGCCTCCCGAGTAGCTGGGATTACAGGCACCCACCACCATGCCCAGCTTATTTTTACATTTTTAGTAGAGATGGGGTTTCACCATGTTGGTCAGGCTGGTCTTGAATTCCTGACCTCAAGCAGTCTACCCACCTCAGCCTCCCAAAGTACAGAGAATACAGGCATGAGCCACTGCGTCCAGCCCAATCTATCTCTTAAAGACGTATTTCAGAGTAAATTGCAGAGAGTTGATTATGTTTTGAATTTGTTTTTCAAGTACTTAGCACATGAAGGTTAATATCCTGTCTCAGATGTGACCTTTGCTCTGTGATCTCAAAGGACGTGAGTTTGGATAATACAATGGGGTCAGCACAAGTTTTGGAATTAGGCCATTGGCAAATCACTGAAGTGACGTCTCCCTGGTTTCAGTTTCCTCATCTGTGAAATGCGGATAATAATACCTCATGGTTTTCTTCATAAAGTGAAATGAAATAAGCTGTACAAAATGCCCAGCACTTACTAGGCAGTTAGTAATTGGTGGCTGCTGTTACAGCAGGCAACATGACTTAGGGGAGAAGTCATTAGCATGGGCTTTGGAGTTAGATTCCTAGCTTTTTATCTTGGTGTGTGTACCTATTGGCCACACCACATTGGGCCAAGTCACCAAACTTGTCCGAATCTCAGTTTCCTTATCTGTAAAATGGCAATGATATTACCATACATAGTCATTATAAAGATGATACATATAATACACATGAGACATATTAGGTAACCAACACAGAGCTACTGTATCACATTAAGAATATAGACCTGGGGCCGGGCGCGGTGGCTCAAGCCTGTAATCCCAGCACTTTGGGAGGCCGAGGCGGGTGGATCACGAGGTCAAGAGATCGAGACCATCCTGGTCAACATGGTGAAACCCCGTCTCTACTAAAAATACAAAAAATTAGCTGGGCATGGTGGTGCGTGCCTGTAATCCCAGCTACTCAGGAGGCTGAGGCAGGAGAATTGCCTGAACCCAGGAAGCGGAGGTTGCGGTGAGCCGAGATCGCGCCATTGCACTCCAGCCTGGGTAACATGAGTGAAACTCCGTCTCAAAAAAAAAAAAAAAAAAAAAAAAAAAAATACAGACCTATGTGAATTATTTGATCATTTTCTCTCCCAGGACCCCTCTCATGGCCTGGAGGTTCTAAGAAAACATTTGTGCAGTCAATAAATGACAAATGTTCTTTATAGGTAACCACATCCTCCCAGATGAGGACCTGGCTGCTTTTCACTGGAGCCTTTTGGGACCAGAACATCCTCTTGCATCACTTAAGGTAATGTTCCCTATTTCTTGCCTATACAGATTAGGGGATATGAGATTTTGATTGGAGTTTTGATGGAATAATTGTCTTACATTAGATTTAAAATATTTCACATACATACAGAAGAAAAAAAAATTGGTTATGGCCAGGTGCGGTGGTTCACACCTGTAATCCCAGCACTTTGCGAGGCGGAGGCGGGTGAATCACATGTGGTCAAGAGTTCAGGAACAGTCTGGCCAACATGGTGAAACCCCATTTCTACTAAAAATACAAAAATTAGTCGAACATGGTGGCAGGCACATGGAGTCCCAGCTACTCAGGAGACTGAGGCAGGAGAATTGCTTGATCCCAGGTGGCGGAGGTTGCAGTGAGCCAAGATCACGCCACTGCACCCCAGCCTGGGCAACAAAGCGAGACTCCATCTAAAAAAAAAAAAGATAAAAGAAATTGGTTATTATCAATACTGTTATTATCTCAAGAATTCATATAAGTCTATAAAGAAATATACTAATATCCCAATAATGAAGTAATGAACAAAGGACATAAGCAGAAAATTTGAAGTAGAGAAAATACAATGACTAGATGTTCAGCCTCACTAATGATCAGACATGTAAATTAAATGTGATTTTTTTTCTTTTTTTTTTTTTTATGGGGCCGTGACTCGTTTTTTTTGTTTTGTTTTGTTTTGTTTTTTGAGATAGATTCTCACTCTTTCGCCCAGGTTGGAATGCAGTGGCATGATCTCAGCTCACTGCAACCTCCACCTCCTGGGTTCAAGCGATTCTCATGCCTCAGCCACCCAAGTAGCTGGGATTACAGGCATATGCCATCACACCTGGCTAATTTTTTTTTTTTTGAGACAGAGTCTTACTCTGTCACTCAGGCTGGAGTGTAGTGTTGCAATCTCAGCTCACCGCAACCTCTGCCTCCCAGGTTCAGGTGATCGTGCTGCCTCAGCCTCCTGGGTAGCCGGGATTACAGGCATGCACCACCACGCCCAGCTAATTTTTGTATTTTTAGTAGAGACAGGGTTTCACTGTGTTGGCCAGGCTGATCTTGAACTCCTGATCTCAAGTGATCTGCCCAGCTCGGCCTCCCAAAGTGCTGGGATTACAGGTATGAGTCACCGCACCCAGGCAGTGTGATTTTTTTTAACTTAACGGTTTAACAAATATTGAAAAATTAGTTTACTTACTATTATCAAAACTGTTGTGGCTGGGTGCGGTGGCTCATGCCTGTAATCCCAGCACTTTGGGAGGCCGAGGCTGGTGAATCACCTGAGGTCAGGAGTTTGAGACCAGCCTGGCCAACGTGGTGAAACTTAAAAAATACAAAACTTAGCCGAGTGTGATGGCACATGCCTGTAGTCTCAGCTACTCAGGAGGCTGAGGCAGGAGAATTGCTTGAACCCGGCAGGTGGAGGTTGCAGTGAGCTGAGACTGCACTACTGTACTCCAGCCTGGGTGACACAGTGAGACTCCGACTCAAGAAAAAAAAGACTGTTGGGAGACTGTTGTGATACCCACATACACTTTTGATGGTAGTGTTAGTTGGTGATTGTATTCTATTTCCTTTGTTCTTTCATGATCCTAAATGAATGTTTCATACCTTCTCTGTCTTCAAGCATCTAATACGTTCTCCTCACTTGGTCACCCTCAGTTCATGACCTCACTTCCTATTTTACTGACAGAATGGAAGCAATGGGAAGAAAACTTTGACAAGTTCTTACCTGCTCTTCACCTCAGCTACATGAAGGTGTTACCCGCTCTGTGCCCACGTTTTGCCTGCCTCCTATTAATTGTGCATGACCTGTCCATATCCCTAAGGCCAATCCCTCTACTTAAACTAGATCCCATCTCTTTATTTATTAAAAATTTTTTTGACTGGATGTGGTGGCTCATGCCTATAATCCCAGCACTTTGGGAGGCTGAGGTGGATGGATCACCTGAGGTCAGGAGTTTGAGACCAGCCTAGCCTAGCCGACATGGTGAAACCCTGTCTTTACCAAAAATAAGAAAATTAGCTGGGCGTGGTACCAGCTGCCTGTAATCCCAGCTACTCGGGAGGCTGAGGCATGAGAATCACTTGAACCCAGGAGGCGGAGGTTGCAGTGAGCCGAGATCATGCCACTGCACTCTGGCAACAAGAGCAAACTTCTGTCTCAAAAAAAAAATTTTTTTTTAAAGACAGTGTCTTGCTATGCTCCCCAGGCTGAAGCGCAGTGGTGCAATCATAGCTCAAGTGATCAATCCTCCTGCCTAAACTTCCTGAGTACCTGGGACTATCAGGCACAGCTCCCATCTCCTTTGGCCAACTTAAGAGCATTGGTTCAGCAATTCTCCCCCTTTTCCTCCTACATCCTCGATTTTCCTCTTTTTTTTTTTTTTTTTTTTTTTTTTTTTTTTTTTTTTGCTCTTTCCCAGTTGGATAAGCATGCATTTATGAAGTTTACAGATAAAACTTTTATTTAAAAAAAAAATCCCTCTTGACCTCACTCTCTTCACCCAAGCTACTGCTCTATATTTCTTCTTATAGAAAAGAAGAAATAGAAATAATTCTTTTTTTCTTCTGTGGAATAGCCCAGAGCTCCATTCTGGTTCCCTTCTGTTTTCTTTTCTGGTTTGTTTTATTTGTTTGTTTTTGAGTAAGGGTCTCATGTTGCCCAGGCTGGAGTGCAGGGGGGTGATCATGGCTCACTACAGCCTTGAATTCCTGTACTCAGTTGGTCCTCCTGCATCAGCTTCTTGAGTAGCTGGACTACAGGCACATACCATCACGACCAGCTAATTTTTTCTGTATTTTTTGTAGAGATGGGATCTTACCATGTTGCCCAAAGTGGTCTTAATCTCCTGGGCTCAAGCGATCCTCCCACCTCAGCCTCCCAAAGTGTTGGGATTATAGTCGTGAGCTACCATGCCCGGCCTCTTCTCTTTTCTGTCACTACATGTGATTGATTTCATATAGTCTTATGACTTTAAATGCCATCTGTCCATTGATGACTCCTAAGTTTTATGTCTTCAGCTCTGACCTCTCCCTTGAACTCCAGATTCTAATCTCCACCTACTCAATATCTTCATTTACATGTCCAATAGGCATCTCAAAGTTATATGTTCAGGTAGAAATTTCTGATCATCTCCCTAAACCTGTCCCTCCCACAGCCTTCCTCATTTTTGTTGAGGGCAACTTCGTCCTTCCATTCTTTCTCTCTCTCTCTCTCTCTCTCTCTCTCTCTCTCTCTCTCTCTCTCTCTCTTTCTCCCTCTCTTACTCTCTTTCTCCCTTTCTTTTTGTTTTGTTTCTTTTCTTAATAGAGTCTCGCTCTGTTGCCCAGTTTGGAATGCAGTGGCACAATCTCAGCTCACTCTAACCTCCACCTCCCAGATTAAGTGATTCTCCTGCCTCAGCCTCTCCCGAGTAGCTGGGACTACAGGCGTGTGCCACCACATCCAAGTAATTTCTGTATTTTTAGTAGAGACGGGGTTTCACCATGTTGGCCAGGCTGGTCTCAAACTCCTAAGCTCAAGGGATCCACCTACCTTGGCCTCCCAAAGTGCTGGAATTACAGGTGTGAGCCACTGCACTCGGCCCATCCTTCCATTTTCTCAGGCTAAAATCCTTGGGAGTCATCCTGACGTCCGCTCTCTCTACCATATCCCGCACCTTATTTGTCAGCAGATAGCATCAGCTCTCCCTTCAGAATATACCCACTTCTTACCATTTGCACTGCTACTACCCTGGCCAAGACAACATTATTTCTTGCCTGGATTATTATAATAGCTTACTAATTGTTGGTCTTCTACTTACACTCTTCCCTCCAGCTCCATTTTATTCTCAACATAACAGCAGAGTGATTCTTTAAAAAAAACTGAGATCCTGTCACTTCTCTATTCAGAATCCTTGGCTGGACACGGTGGCTCACACCTTTAATCCCAGCACTTTGGGAGGCTGAGGCGGGCGGATCACTTTAGGTCAGGAGTTCGAAACCAGCCTAGCCAACATGGTGAAACCTTGTCTCTACTAAAAATTAAAAAAAAGAAAATAGCCAGGTGTGGTAGTGCATGCCTGTAGCCCCAGAGATTTGGGAGGCTGAGGCAGGAGAATTGCTTGAAGCTGGGAGGCAGAGGTTGCAGTGAGCTGAGATCGTGCCGCTGTACTCCCTCCTGGGGGCAGAGTAAGAATCTGTCTCAAGAAAAAAATTCCTCCAATGGCTCTTCATGTCACTCTCCAATCCTTACCATGGCCTACAAAGCCCTATACTGCCTGCCCCCCTCTTATATCTCTGATCTCTTTCTTTCTTTTGCTCTTAGAACCTTTGCACTTATCATTCTCTCTACTTGGAATACTTTTTCTTCTTTCATAGCTATTTCTTCACTCCTGAAGGTTTTCTAAAATTTCATTCTCAATGAGGCTTTTCCTGATCACCCTACAAAAGATCATATGCACACACTTCTGCAGTAGGGATTGTCTAGAAAAAAATTATGTGCACACACATACTTGCATTCCCTAGCTGCTTCTCTACTCTTTTCTCCACAGTACTTATCTACATTTAGTACACTATACATTTTTTTTTTTTTGAGATGGAGTTTTGCTCTTGTTGCCCAGGCTGGAGTGCAGTGGTGCGATCTCAGCTCACTGAAACCTCCACCTCTCAGGTTCAAGCAATTCTCCTGCCTCAGCCTCCCGAGTCGCTGAAATTACAGGTGCCTGCCACCATGCCCAGTTAATTTTTGTATTTTTAGTAGATATGGGGTTTCACCATGTTGGCCAAGCCGGTCTCGAACTCCTGACCTCAGGTGATCCACCAGCCTCAGCCTCCCAAAGTGTTGGGATTACAGGCATGAGCCACCATGCCCAGCTTAAACTATACATTTTACTTATTTAGTTTGTTTAACTCCCCTCACCCTATCCCAAAACATCTATGCTAGAATTTAAGCACCCATGAGGGCAGAGATTTTTGTCTTGTTCACTGCTGTGTCCCTGGTGCCTAGGACAGTGCCTGGCACATAGTGGGCAGTAAATGTTTAAGGAATGAATAATAAAGCCTTTTGGCAAAACAATCTATAAAAATTCAAAGCCTGGCTGGGCATGGTGGCTCATGCCTGTAATCCCAACGCTTTGGGAGGCTGAGGCAGGTGGATCAACTGAGGTCAGGAGTTTGAGACTAGCCTGACCAACATGGAGAAAGTTTCATTGCTACTAAAAATACAAAATTGGCCAGGCATGGTGGCACATGCCTGCAACCCCAGCTACCTGGGAGGCTGAGGCAGGAGAATCGCTTGAACCTGGGAGGCGGAGGTTGCGGTAAGCCAAGATCATGCCATTGCACTCTAGCCTGGGAAACAAGCGGTGAAACTCTTTAAAGCCTTTAGGAAGTTTACAGCCTCTGCCTCAGTAATTACAGTTTGAGAAAACTTGTAATTAAGTAATTAGCAAGACATCAATCATACCTATAGTTTATGATAGCATTAAAAATGTTTACTGGCCAGGCTCGGTGGCTCACACCTGTAATCCCAGCACTCTGGGAGGCCGAGGAGGGCGGATCACCTCAGGTCGGGAGTTCAGACCAGCCTGACCAACATGGTAAAACCCCGTCTAAAAAAAAAAAAAAAAAAAAAATTTTTTTTTAAAAGCCAGGCACAGTGGCTCATGCCTATAATCCCAGAACTTTGGGAGGCCGAGGCAGGCAGACTGTTTGAGGTCAGTAGTTCAAGACCAGCCTGGCCAACATGGTGAAACCCTGTCTCTACTAAAAATACCAAAATTAGCCGGGCATGGTGGTGGGTGCCTGTAATCCCAGCTACTTGGGAGGCTGAGGCAGGAGAATCTCTTGAACCCAGGAGGCAGAGGTTGCATTGAGCCAAGATTGTACTACTACACTCCAGCCTGGATGACAGAGGGAGACTCTGTCTCCAAATATATATATGTAAGCATCACAAAAACAGAAAAAATAATATATGGTAAATCACCATTGTAACATCTTCCAGATCCAGCAGTTAACCAATATTTTGCCACACATTCTGGGTTTTGTTGTTATTGCTAATGCTTTTTAAAGCAAATCCCTTTCACATTCTTCAGTATACATCTCTTAAAATACTTGGGTGTTTTCTTACATAAGCATAATGACATTATGACTCCTGACAAAATTAATGCTGATTTCTTGGCATCATCTTAATATCCAGTCCATTTTCAGATGTTCCTGATTATCTTAAAATGGCCTCTTGTGATTAGTTCAAATCAGAATCCAAACATGGACATTTCATTATAATATTACATTTAATAGCAGAAAAGCCAAAATGTCTCATAAAAGGAAGCCTGATGAATCATGACAGTGTCATAAACAGTAGTTATCTCTGTAGGAAGATGGATGATATGCTTTTTTTTTTTTTTTTTTTGGGACGGAGTTTCGCTCTTGTTACCCAGGCTGGAGTGCAATGGCGCGATCTCGGCTCACGGCAACCTCCACCTCCTGGGTTCAGGCAATTCTCCTGCCTCAGCCTCCTGAGTAGCTGGGATTACAGGCACGCACCACCATGCCCAGCTAATTTTTTTGTATTTTTAGTAGAGACGGGGTTTCACCATGTTGACCAGGATGGTCTCGATCTCTTGACCTCGTGATCCACCCGCCTCGGCCTCCCAAAGTGCTGGGATTACAGGCTTGAGCCACCGTGCCCGGCCGGATGATATGCTTTTATTGCTTTATAATTTTCCATGTTCTCCAAGTGTTCTGTACTGAGAATGAGGGGGTGAAACTATTTTTAAAGAAAATATTTTAATTCTCAGTGGATTTGCCGAAATTGAATTCCATATCTCCCCTCAACTTCACCCTTTTTCTTAGTGATCCATCTTTGATGTCAGCATCCCTTGCTTATTTTGCCTTTTCTAGGTACGAGCTCATCAGCTGGTTCTTCCTCCCTGTGACGTGGTGATCAAGGCTGTTTCTGAGTATGTCAGTTCCATCAAAGATCCCTCAAACCTGGATGTAGTCGGGAAGGATGTTTTCAAACAGTCTCAGGTAAGTTAGCATTCCCCTTCCTAAGAGTCCCCAATTTTCTTACCTTCTTCAACAACACCAGCAGGTCCCTGATCTTTTCTGTGACACCTGTTTTCCTAGCTGCTTGCCTTCTCCATGCTTACAAACCAAAGCTCCAAAATTTCCTTTAAAAAACATTATACAGGCCAGGCGCGGTGGCTCAAGCTTGTAATCCCAGCACTTTGGGAGGCCGAGGCGGGTGGATCACGAGGTCAAGAGATCGAGACCATCCTGGTCAACATGGTGAAACCCTGTCTCTACTAAAAATACAAAAAATTAGCTGGGCATGGTGGTGCGTGCCTGTAATCCCAGCTACTCAGGAGGCTGAGGCAGGAGAATTGCCTGAACCCAGGAGGCGGAGGTTGCGGTGAGCCGAGATCGCGCCATTGCACTCCAGCCTGGGTAACATGAGTGAAACTCCGTCTCAAAAAAAAAAAAAAACATTATACAGCCTGGATTGAACGTGTTCTTTACCTTTTTTTTCTACTGATGACAAAGTAATATAAGCCCATTGTAGGCCAAGCACACACCTCACACCTGTAATCCCAGCACTTTGGGAGACCAAGGTGGGTGGATCACTTGAGGTCATGAGTTTATTCCAGCCTGGTGCGAAACTTCGTCTCAAAAAAAAAAAAAAAAAAAAAAGCCCAGAACATTTATTACATGACCAACCATTGAAATTCTTAAAATGAACTGGATGCAATGACAGCTGCCCTTTTGGGTTTAGGTGTTACTCCTTCACAGAGTCCACGCCTGCGTTCACAGTATACAATTTTTAGGTACATTACATCAACTCTTGTGGTATTTTGTCTTTTAGCCTTAGCACTCCAGTTATACTTCGTTTTATCTTGGGAGGGTAACGACATAGCGTTTACTTCTTAATGCGAGGCTTCCCAAATCAAGACATTCCCTTCGTCACCTCACTTCTACTTTCTGTTTTTCTTATTTATTTACTTATTATTTTGAGATGAGGTCTCATTCTGTCACCCAGGCTGGAGTGCAGTGGAACTATCTCGGCTCACTGTAACCTTCAACTCCCAGGTTCAACTGATTCTCATGCCTCAGCCTCCTGAGTAGCTGGGATTACAGGCGTGTGCCACCATACCCAACTGATTTTTTTTCAATTTTTCATAGACACAGGGTTTTACCATTGTTGGCAAGGCTAGTCTCAAACTCCTGACCTCAGATGATCCACCTACCTTGGCATCCCAAAGTGCTAGGATTACAGGCGTGAGCCACCACACCTGGCCTGTTTTTCTTTTTTAATTACATAGTTCTACACTTGACGTTTTAGAACAAATCATCCATATTTTCTGTATAAAGTATGAGAGGTTTTGTTTGTTTTTCATATGGATATCAAATTGTTCCAGCACAGTTTGCTGAAAAGACTATCTTTCCCTCGTTGAATCGCCTTTGCATTTTTGTTAAAAATCAATTGACCACAGTGTTGGTGTGGGTCTATTTCTGGACGCTGTTCTGTTCAGTTGATCTGTGTGTCTATCCTTTTACCAGTAATACATTATCTTGATTACTGTAGCTTTATAATAAGTCTTAAAATTGGTTAGTGATTCCACCACATTTATTTATTTATTTATTTATTTAGAGACAGGCTGGAGTGCAGTGGCACAAACATGGCTCACTGCAGCCTCAGCCTCCTGGGCTCAAGTGATCCTGCTGCTTCAGCCTCCCAAGTAGCTAGTATTACAGGCGTGTGTCATCATACCTGGCTAATTTTCAAATATTTTGTAGAGATAGGGTCCCACTATGTTACCCAGGCAAGAAATCCTGCTGTGATTTTTATTGGAATTTCATTAAATATATAGATGAATTTGGTGAGCCTTTGAAACTATGAATATTATTTGCCTACTTATTTAGGTCTTCTTTGATTTTTTTTTCATCAGCTAAAAGTTTTATAGTTTTTAGCATACAACTTCTGTACATATAAAAATATTTATATTGGCCGTGGGCAGTGGCTCACACCTGTAATCCCAGCACTTTGGGATCCAGCGGATCACAAGGTCAGCAGTTCGAGACCAGCCTGGCCAACATGGTGAAACCCCGTCTCTACTAAAAATACAAAAATTACCCAGGCGTGGTAGCAGGTACCTGTAATCCCAGCTACTCAGGAGGCTGAGGCAGGAGAATCGCTTGAACCCGGGAGGCAGAGGTTGCAGTGAGCCGAGATCGCTCCACTACACTCCAGCCTCGGAGACAGAGTAAGACTCTGTCTCAAAAATATATAAATATATATATTTATACTTAAGTATTTTATATTTGAGACACCTATTATAAAGGATATATATATATATATATATATATATATATAGGTAGATATATATATATTTTTTTTGAGACGGAGTTTCGCTCTTGTTACCCAGGCTGGAGTGCAATGGCACAATCTCGACTCACTGCAACCTCCGCATCCTGGGTTCAAGCAGTTCTCCTGCCTCAGCCTCCCAAGTAGCTGGGACTACAAGCGTGCAATAGCACGCCCAGCTAATTTTTCTATATTTTCAGTAGAGACAGGGTTTCACCATGTAGACCAAGATGGTCTCGATCTCTTGACCTCACGATCCACCCGCCTCGGCCTCCCAAAGTGCTGGGATTATAGGCTGAGCCACCGCGTCCGGCCAATATTTTGTTTTTTAAATTTCTAATTGTTCATTGCTAATATAGAAACACAGTTGATTTTTGTGTGTTGACCTTGTATTCTATGATTTTTCCAAACTCACTCGTTAGTTCTAGGAGTTATTTGGTAGATTTCTTGGGATTTTCTGTGTAGGTGATTATATTGTCTATGAATAGTGACCATTTTATTTTATTTTCCTGTCTGTATGCCTTTTTCTTCTTGACTTACTGCACTGTCTCTGATTTCCAAATGATATGAATACAAATGCTAAGAATATGTATTCTTATCTTGTTCCTGATCTTTAGAGAAAGGATTCAGTCTTAAGTAGGATATTAGCTGTAGTTTTTGTGTATGTTACCAGGTTGAGGAAGTTATCTTCTATTCCTAGTTTCCTGGATGTTTTATAATGAATGGATGGTGTATTATGGCAATTGCATTTTTCCACATATATTGATAGGATCATGTTGTATTTCTTTAGTCTATTAATATTTTGGATTGATTTTTGAATATTGAATCATCCTTATGTTCCTAGGATGTGATTGTAGTATATTAGTCGCTTTTTGTGTTGCCGGATTTGAATTGCTGATATTTCATTGAGTATTTTTACATTTATTTTTATGAGAGATACTGGTCTATAATTTTTTTGTGCTGTCCTTGATCTGGTATTATTATCAAGATAATGCCAGACTTAATTAAATGAGTTGGCAAGAGCTCCTTCCTCTTCTGTTTTTGGAAGATATTTCAAAATCTCTTCCAAAAATAGAAGAGGAAAGAACTCTTGGTGTTATTTCTTCTTTAATTGTTTTGTAGAATTGGCCAGCAATGTGTCTGGCATGGATTTCTTTGAATTTATCATGTTTAAATCTTCGTGCATCTCTGTTTGTCTTTCACTCTCTCTCTCTTTCCTTCCCTCCCTCTCTCCCTTCCTTCCTTTCTTTTCTTTCTTTTCTTTTTTTAAGATGGAGTTTCACTCTTACTGCCCAGGCCAGAGTACAACGGCGTGATCTCAGCTCACTATAACCTCCGCCTCCCAGGTTCAAGAGATTCTCCTGCCTCAGCCTCCCGAGTAGCTGGGATTATAGGCACCTGCCACCACACCTGGCTAATTTTTTGTATTCTTAGTAGAGAAGGGTATCACCATATTGACCAGCTGGTCTCGAACTCCTGACCTCAGGTGATCTACCTGCCTTGGCTTCCCAAAGTGCTGGGATTGCAAGTGTGATCCACCATACCCAGCTGCTATTATTTCTTTCTTTATTTATTTATTTTTTTTTTTTGAGACGGAGTCTTGCTCTGTTGCCCACGCTGGAGTGCAATGGTCTCAGCTCACTGCAACCTCCGCCTCCTAGGTTCAAGTGATTCTCTTCCCTCAGCCTCCCGAGTAGCTGGGATTACAGGTGCACGCCACCATGCCCAGCTAATTTTTGTATTTTTAGTAGAGACGGGGTTTCACCATGTTGGTCAGGCTGGTCTTGAACTCCTGACTTTGTGATCCACTCACCTCAGGCTCCCAAAGTGCTGGGATTACAGGTGTGAGCCACCGTGCCTGGCTATTATTTCTTAAAATTGATTCTCTGCTCTACATCTTTCTCCTTTCCTTACATGACTTCAATGACACCATTGTTAGGCCTTTTGGTATTATCCTATATATCCCTGAGACTGTTCTTTTTTGTTAATTATTTTTCTCCCTGGATAATTTCTACTAATCTGTCATCAACTTCTCTGTGTCATTCCTCTGCCATCTCTATTCTCTGAAGTGTCAATCCGCTGATTTTTTTTCTTCAATTTTGGTTATTGTAATTTTAAGTTCTATTTTTTAAAAAATCTTTTTTTGTGGATACTGGGTCTCACTATGTTGCCCAGGCTTGGTCTCAAACTCCTGGCCTCAAGCACTCCTCCTGCCATGGCCTCCCAAAGTGCTGGAATTATAAGTGTGAGCCATTTCCAATGGAAATTCTAAAATTTCCATTTGCTATCTTGCTGTGTTGCCTAGGCTAGAGTGCAGTGGTGTGATCTTGACTCGCTGCAACCTCCGCCTCCCAGTTTCAAGTGATCCTCACACCTCAGCCTCCCAAGTAGCTGGGACTACAGGTGTGTGCCACCATGCCTGACTTATTTATTTATTTATTTATTTATTTTTGGTATTTTTAGTAAAGACAGGGTTGTGTTACTCCAAAAGACGGAATTTGGCCAGGTTGGTCTCAAACTCCTGACCTCAAGTGATCCACCCGCCTCGGCCTCCCAAAGGCAAGAGCCACTGGGCAGCCTGCTTAGACTTTGTATCTTGTTTTTTCAAAAGCGTTATGATTACTTTCAACCATTTTTATAATAGCTTCTTTAAAGTCTTTGTTAG